AAATGTAGCCCATTTATTAAAAGCACGAGGCACACACAATCCCCCAACAATATTTCTATAGGCATTCTTTACGGAATAAATTCCTTTGGGGTCCCCAAGCCAATACCATGAATCTTCATAATCTAGGCTAACATGAATTTTAGATATACGAGCCACATCTTCAGTAATAATATGGGGATCCCAAGTATTAGTCTGCTGATCAATCAACCCTGCAACCTGAGCATCTCCCAATTCAGTAGGCATCTCTGTTTGAACCAGCGGGCTAGGGTCGTCTGGTAACCAAAGTCGTTCTACCATTACCAATCTTCCTGCGCACCCCGGAAAAAACAATATCATGCGCAACCATAATTCTCCTCCAGCAATAACTTTCATCAACAAATGAAGTAGAAGGATAATATTGTGCCTTATATATTTTTGCTACTAGGGAGGTGGGATTTGTGAGGAAACGCCAGGACGGTTTTCCTAGCATAGCCAAATTAAAACCACTGAGCTTAAAACCCAATCCAGCAAAATTCTTAGGAATACATAATTTATCCCAAGCTTTCCAGTGAATTCCTCTCTCCGTTCCACTCCCACACCAATACCTGTGTCCTCTCAATAGATAAACAAACAGGATCAGTAGCAAGAAAACACTCATTGTAAAAGTAGCTGCATAGATTGAGCCACACTTTTCAATAACACCTCCCTACCAGCCAGTAACTTTTTGTTCCATGAACTAATTCGCTGTCTGATTTTATCGTCCACATAAGAAAAAACATCCATTTTATTCCTTCCCACAAATGAAGGTAGGCCAAGATATTTGCCAAAATTGGGGGCTTGTTCTACATGCAAACATTCCGCCATCGCCGCACTATCCTCCTCCCTGGTATTCTACTGAAACAGATATTGGATTTATGAAAATTGACCATTTGACTAGACAGTTTTTCATAACATACCAGGCATTGTTTTATCACACTGGCTTCCTGAATATTTGACTTAAACAACAGTAGACTGTCATATGCAAAGAACAAGTGAGAAATAGGGGGCTCCCCTAGCCACCCTACATCCATGTATAGATCCTGCCATCTGAGCCTTCTACAACAACATTGATAAACCTTCCGCACAGATAATAAATAAATGTGGGGAGAGAGGATCACCCTGCCTAAGACCAGGGGAGGGAGTTATGCGCCCACTACTCATACCATTCACCAGAATATTATACTTTACTGTGGTTACACATAGCATAATCAGTTTGACCCAGCGTTCATCAAATCCCATAACCACAAGCATTTTATGCAAAAACTACCATTCCATTCTATCATAGGCCTTTGTCATATCCAACTTTAAAGTCTCCCATCCTGTCAAACCACACTGCTTCCTATTCAAATAATGGTCTACTTCAGCAACTATTAGGATATTATCTGTGATGAGTCTATCAGGAATGAAAACACTTTGGAACTCTGAAATTAGATCCCCCATTAGTGGTTTCATTCTGTTTACTATCATCTTGGCCATAATTCCATACAATACATTACCCAGAGCAATCGGTCTTATATCAGCTACCGCTTCCGGCTCACTTTTTTTAGGGATCAAAATCACATTCGTATCATTCAAACCATCAGGAAAAGCAGCAGAGTTTAAGCAGCCCAAAATAAAAGAAGTTACATCACCTCCCACTACATCCCAAAAGTGCTGATAAAAACCCGGATTCATTCCATCTGGTCTTGGAGCTTTATCAGGAAACACAGCAAAAAGTGCAGTTTTGACCTCCTCAGATTCAAAGGGTCATAATAGAGTGTTATTTTGATCATGAGACACACGGGGGATGAAATTATCGAACAGGGGGTCATCACACACAGAATTATTAGAGGCGAAAATAGATCTATAGTACTCCAAGATAACCACATTCATAGCCTCTCCATCCACCCACACATCAGCAGCATTTTGAATTTTATGAATTAAATTTTTTTTCTTACGTGCAGAAGCATACCAGTGATAGAATTTTGTATTGGCATCTGTACCCCGTAGCTAGTGTTTCTTAGCTCGTTGCCTCCAAAATACATCTTCCTGGGCCTCTAACTGGCAAAGCTGACCCTCCAGTCATTGGAACTCGGCCAATGCAGCCTGGTCCCTCCGATCTCTCAACACTTCTTGCTTCTTTCGCAGCTGTTTCATACGGTCCCCAAACTTATGAAAGTGTTCCCCTCCCCACAGCATCAGTCTACTACCACAATGCTGCTGACAATTCAGCAACCCCTCAGTCCTCCCATCCTGCCAGGCAGTCTCAACCACATCCCTGCATCCCTAATCATGGAGCCAAGCCATCTCAAACAAAACCCCTCGGACTCCTGCCACTATGCAAAGTCGTTGCATTAATATCGAGGAAAAGAGCCGAGTGATCCGAAGTACGAGTCAGTATATTTTCAATCCAAGCACCGCCGTTCATATCAATCCAACCTGCCGTGGCCATCACCTTGTCTAACCTCTCCTCTATCCAGCTTTCCATACCTCCCCCTCTCTCCCAGGTGAATTGGTGCCCACTCATCGGTAACTGAAGCAAACCACAACTGTTAATAGCCTCCCCAAAACTGCGAAGGAGATTATCTGGATGCGGATTCTCCCCCTTCTTCTCGTGCTGATATAGAAGATCATTAAAATCCCCTATCACAACCCAAGAGAGTGTTGATCTGCCCTTCAATACATCAAGCAACTGCCATGATTCTCCTCCTCCACCGCTCAGGGTAACAATAGAAGCACGTCGTACGCCACAATCTGTCATTTGTTAAACTAACTTCCACGTCATACGCCGACCAATTTCTCAAAAAAATGCTTCTTTTGCTCTTAATTTTGGTTTTTTTTTTTTAATATATTTAGATGATTTCAATTTTCAACAATATTTTAAACAATTTTATAGCCACTTAAATAAATAGTTTGTAAAAAAAAAAAACAATGAGAACCTTATGTTTTATTAGTGAATTTTGATAATTTTTAATTTTTAATTTTTTTTACATTTAAAAAAATTAAAAAATTAACTCCCACCCTTAGGGAGGGCCTTACGTATTTTGCAACCGTTAACTGTGAGAATACCTAAGAAATGAAAGAGTATCTCACATCCCCTTTAAATGGCTAAAAATCTTATGAAATACGCACGCCGGTACATCTTCTACGGCATATAGGACATGTTGGTTTGTTGTCCAGCCATTGAGCAATGCAAGTATGGTGAAACCTATGCGAACAGGGAGACAATGAAGCCATCACCACCCCTCTCCCTCTTATAACCTCCTCCAAGCATATGCAACAACACTCGCCCTCCTCTTCATCCCCACTAACTTCTTCACTCCTCAATACACCTAAGGCGGTGTCCCCGTAATACTTCCCATTCACTTCCTCAAACCCTTCTTCTTCTTCTTCTTCTTCAATCATCATCTCATCCTCATCCACCTCTTCATAATCATCACTCAAATCATCGCTACTATCTAACAAATCATCATCTCTCCGTTCATCAAACACCTGAATCGTTTCCATGGTCACCGACATGGACAGCCCATAACACCAGCCTCTGCTACTCACATGGTTAAAAGCAAACGTCGCTATCTGATCGGCGATTTCAGCATCGGCTCGATAGTCCACGGCGGGGAGTATGCCGGAGGTGAACGATAAAGCGTTCGCCGATGAACTCAAGTCGGTGCGCGGATCGAATTGAAATTCGAGCGAAAAATCGGCCAAAGTAGATGGGGATGGCTCCATAGATCTAATAATTTTGTGAATGTACAATCTTCCCATGCTTGGATTTCGTAAGGGGATCCCTATCATATTTGTTATCGTTGGCGCCATTCTCCTGCTGTATATATATATATATATATATATATATATATATATATCTTTGGGTTAGTTCAACCTTTCCTTCTAGCTTAGCATGGAAATACGGTACGGTCATGTAGAGATTCACTTATTTATTCATATGTTTGTTATCCTATTTAGATTAGGATTAGGGTAATAATTATAATAATAATAATTCAGTCCTATTTTAGTTAAAATTGGGAGATTAATAATAGTCCTTACTATTAATATATTACTCAATCTGTCTCATTTTATTGTCTGATTCAGTTAATGAGACTTGACTAAGTTGTTTTTAATTGAACTTTTCATAATGTTAAGTTTAATATTAATATATAAAATTTATATATTTAGAAATTACAATAAAAATAAAATATTACTCCGTATTAAATATAAAAAATATAAATTAAAAATAATCAAAAAAAATACTAAAGAAAATAAGCAAAGAAACTAGAGTTTGTTTGACCAATGAATAGTAAACATAACCTGCAAAATGAGATGGAAAATGTATCTTATTATAATTAAGGTTTAGATTTTTTTAATACTACCGTATGGTTAGATTACTATATATTATTATTTTAGACTTTCTAAATTTGAGTTCATGTAATTTTGAATTTCTTATTTGCATGGTATAATGTACTAACGGTATTTTGTACTGCTTTTAATAAATATTAGTACAAGACATTTATTATTTACATTTAAAATTATTAATTAGTATTATGAATTTTAGCAAGTCTTTAAATAAAATCATATTTCCTTCGTCTCATTTAATGTGTTTGATTCGATTTGACTTAAGTTATTTTTAATCCAATAGTTTACTTACTATTAGTATATAACATTTACATATTTAAAAACTATGATGAATTTATTATATAAATTTTGATTCAAGAAAAAGGTTATTATTTGTATTTGCACATCATTGTAATGCGTTTTTCTATTTTTGTGTTGTCGAACTGAATTGATCACTTATCATTTTTAATCCGTAGATAAAGTTGTAAAATGTTTAAATTTACTAATAACATTCAGAATTGAATTGATATTACGGTATGCATTATTACAAATTTTTAATTAATTCTTCATACATTCAAGCTAAACATGCTTCAATTTTTTTGTTTGTAATCTAACCATACGGTAGTATTAACCTTTTGCTGTCTTGGAAATGGAGCAAAGATTTACTCATTCAAAAAAAAATAACAAATTGAGGCAAAATGGATAAAGCCTGAACAAACATTTACTTGTGGAATTTACAAGTGAACTTATCCAAACAAGGATCAGCAGCCTACAAAGCAGAATTTACATTTCTCACCCTCAATTCCCCAGGGGAAAATATGGAAAAAAAGAAGAAAAAAAAAAGGGAGCATAATTAGGTGGGGGGAACGAAAAATAGGACAAGCCATTAGAATAAGAGCCAAGAAACATATGAAGAGAGAGGAAAGAAAACCCACAAGCAAACCTCTATTTTCTAATTCTTACATGGAAACCCTTGATTCCAACCTAGTATGGTAAAGGCCAAACCTAGACATGAATATTATTATCTCCCAAGGGAAAGCATCAACGTTGGAAAAGTGATCAAAAAATATATTTCATTCACATATATGATCTGGGTTTGCACGTCAATGGGTTTACTCCTCGCTTCCAGCAGCAATACTCGACTTATCAGTCATGCGTACGTTGTATTTTTCATATACTCTTGCACGGTTCTCTGCCCACCATTGCTCCGCTTGTTTTTCGCTAAACCGCTTCCGGCTGCATACAAACAATTGTTTTCCAAACATAACATTCAGACAAATAAATAAACACGACATTACAAGCTGCTACACAGAGTGATGGCCTTGGGAGTGGAATTAGGTTTGACAAGAGCAATGCAGAAAGGCAGGATTTACATTTTTTTAACCTGAAAAGGTACTAAACTAAATCCAATATAAAGAAATTAATGCGAGATTAAGATACCTGAAGCGAACACGCTTAAGATCCTTCAAGCCTCCTGGCAAGGAAGTAAGTGTAATATATACACCGGGTTCATCTTGCTCAACCCATTCACTCTCATTTCGGGATTCACTTTCTTTTCCTCTGCTTCCATTTCTCGCTGAGGCTTCTGAATTTACTTGCCTGATATAACCAGCATTGCGGGTAGTACAAGCAGTGCTTGACCCATTAGAAAGTGGTTGGGAGTTAGGTCCATTTGACTCCAAATCTTGGCATATGACTTCACCATTCAAATGGTCAATAGACACATTTGAAGCGTCACTAGAGAGAGCATTTGAGCTAATGGAAGCAAGCGTGGGAGATTTGATGTTCCGGGCAGCACCAACAGGCAGCCTTTCAGCCATTTCCTTCAGCTACATCAGATGTAGAAAACAAACTCAAAACCAGAAGCAGTAGGGAAACTCAAATAAACTATGACCACTTTTTTTTTAATCTATGACAATCTATAGCCAAAAAATAAAATAAAACCTCATGCTGTTTTATTATCAAAACTCGGTGCATCCAACCTCCAAGATCAAATACACCTCAATGTAGAGGGTAGATTAAGTAACCATTCATCAGTTTGACTTGTTAGATTATGCAAACTCTAAAATGACCCATAATCAACAGGTTTCAGCCAAAAACAGTAAAACCTTATCTATAAAAGATCATAGTATATTTTGAGTTAAAATCATCTTTGGTATGATCATAACTAGTTTTCAAAAAGAGAGAGGCAAATGTTGTGTAAAATAAAAGACGTCAAGCTGATTTAATTTTGTATACAAAGAGAACAAAGGCTTTGAGTCAAAGTATCACAAAATGAAGTTGGATGAACAGTTGAGCACTCATTCTATGTACCATTGAAATTATTCCAAAGAAAGATCTGAAACTTCATATTTTATTAAGTAAAAGACATTAATGTGGATACCACCCATCTCTCAAGTACAACTCTTGTAGCAACAAGAGTGATGGGGACTATGTAATGAAATTGTCTTGGAAATTGGAACTTAGCTTGAAGGCTGTTTAGAGGAGGTAATGGACTAATGGTATTCTTAACACCTATAAACAGAAAACTACAGAACTATGGCAGGGTCAAATGACCACAAATATCCATCATACCTGAGCAGTGAGTGACTTGATCACTTCTTTTGCTGCTTTGCATTTGGCAGTCTCCTCCCCTGCTATTGCTATTGCCTCCTTCAGCTGCTTGGTAGTTCTTTCCAGTTCTATCTCTTGAGCCTGAGCCTTGCGTGTAAGATTTTCCACCTGACACAAAGACAGATCAAAAGATATTCTATAAAGGGCCAGTGGGATGGGGAATACTGAACGATGCAGATAATACCAAGGATGCAGCATAAAGAGAACTTAATACCTGTGATCTCAGTTTAGTAACCTCTTGGCTAAGGCTATCATTGGTTTTCTTAGCATCATCCAGTACAATCTTTGGTGAAGTGAGGCCACCAAGAGTTGGAGTTGGTGTAGTAGAACGAGGCGGACTGGGCCGTCTCGATATCGGAGATGTTGCTCTAGAAACAATTCTTGAACCTGGAACTGAAGCTGAAAAAAACTTCTTTGATGAACCAAATACTGGATTAAAAGGTTTGGACAGATTGAGAGCTCCCCACTGGGAGCTACCATTAGGAATAGGTGAAACACGACTGCTATTGAATTCCAACTTCTTCTTTTGCTTGGAAGAGCGGGTTTCCACTTGTTTGAACGATTCCATTGAAGAAAACCTATTAAGATGAGGTCTGGACCGTGTTTCCAACTTCTCATCTTTGTCTACAACATCACTTAGCCCCTGATCTTTAGTTCCTCTTCTACTCACAGAAGAATGAGAAGAAGCATCAGTTTCAGCAGCTTTTTTCAATTTATAAAAACAACTATCACAGACTCGATATGGTTTATTGGGATTTGGTGCCATTGATGCCCTCAATGATTTCTTACCGCTGCATGAATGACAATAGACAAGTCCACAGTTATAACAGTTATGGCGTTTCCTTTTGAAATTAAAAGGAAGTCGACAACCAGAACACATAGATTGATCAACCCCTGAGACCCATTTGTGAAGGCAGATAACTGCAGTAAAATTGGACCCACAAGCAATACTTTTAACTTGCTTATCTTTCAAAGCTTCCACTAAGGTCGGTGAATTCCTATCGTCCATGTCCCCATGACCTAATCTTCCATTTGCTCCCTTTCCCCATGTAAACACTTCAGTTCTAGAAGTCAACACAGCAACATGGTAAGCGCCACAAGCTATCTCCTCCACGAAACTCTTTGCAAGTTTTCCTTCAACACGACATGGAAGTTTTCCATCAGCTTGAGGATTTCCTAACTGCCCATAAACTGGACTGCCCATAGTGTATACTTGGCCTACCGTGGTTAAAGCAACAGTTAGGCTATGTCCACAAGCGACCTGGCAAAAATTGGGTTCAACAAGAGCAGCAACACAGGTTGGTACAAGTCTTGATTCCCTATCACCATGTCCTAATCGGCCCTTATCACCATCTCCCCATGTAAATAGTTTTCCTGAAGAACAATTGCTGGAACTTGAGTTTCCAACCATGACTTCTACAACAGCAGCAGTATGCCAAACGCCACAAGCAGCTCGTACAGTTCTAAGTCCCTTAAGAGATTCCACCTCCCTAGGTTTGGAAACACTTTTCCGATCTCCGTGGCCAAGAACACCAAAAGTCCCATCACCAAAAGTAAACAATTGCCCAGCAGAGGTCACAACAGCAGTGTGCCAGGGCCCACAAGCAATACATGAGACATGTATACCCTCCAAAGGCCCATTAACTCTTTTTGGGACCCAATGACTCACTTCATTACCATGCCCAAGAAGACCAAAATGACCATCACCCCATGTGTACAAATCACCAGAAAGTGTTACTGCACAGGTATGATGTTCACCACATGCAACAAGCTCTATGCTTGTATTACTTAGGGCATCTATAAGCTTTGGATGCAAAACATCAGAATCAACACCATGTCCAAGCCTGCCTCCTGATTCCTCACCCCAAGAGAATATCTCTCCTTGCTTTGTCACAAGTGCAGCATGTTGTCCGCCACATGCGATATTCTGTACATCTAGTACAACAGCAGATTCTAAAGCTTTAGGCAATAAAGAATCCATTTTAATCCCAAAATGGCTGCCAACTTTATGAAGTCCACCACCCAATACACCATCCCCTGTACCCTCTCCCCAGATAAAAACATCACCTAATGCATCACTGTCATCATGCCCAGAACCTTGGCTTGATGAGCTAACTGCACTTGAAAGGCTTACCCTAAAAGCATCTACCCCCATTGTCTTTATATGACCATGTATCCCATCTGAACCTCCAGAAGATATGGAATGAAGAGAACCACTAGCAGAATCTGAAGGGAAAACCCCTTTGGGAGGCAACAACATCACATCAGAAAATGCCTTATCCAGACCATTTTTAGGTGGGCTTCCATATGGACTATGGAGCCGTAGCTGATCACCAACATCCTGATTTAGACAGAGAGAAATTAATACAACATTTTACAAGAAACTTTATTTCGTATGTTGAGTTCATGTTAGACATATATATATATATATATATATATATATATATATATATATATATATATATATATATATATGAAATGATTTATGAAAACTAAATAAGTCAAGGAAGCTTTGCTTCAGTATATCCATGAGAAAACATACGGGAAGGGTCTATACCTTCTGCAGGCTATCACCACTACCAAATGGAGAATGCAGTGGAGAACTTCTTCGTGTGTAAGTCCTGGGACTATTAGCACCTGATGAGATCCCATCACTTCTTGATTCTGTCCTCCATTTTCGTTGATGACCACGTGAAATCAATGCCTTCAACCCACTAAACCAGACCTCTGCCTCCTCTTTATCTTTACATATCTAAAATAAGACAGAACAGAGAAAACACAAAGTTGACATTCAACCATTCAACCTGAAAATGAAACATAAATGATAAATGGAAACTCACCAGATCCAGTGACCTATCATTGTATATTAGGGAAAATGATTGATACTCCTTCTCAGGCCTTGGGTACCTTTGGAAAATGGGCTGGCAAAGAATAAAATTGAAGCTTTAAATAATCCATAATCCAAACTGGCAAACAAAAATCTCTGCAATCTACAAACATAATAGAAAAGTAATAAATTATAGACTAGTAGTCATTGGCATCACAATTTTATGTGCATGCAACTAATTTAAATAGTTCATTAGCTTATGGCTTAAACAAGATGTGCAGTAACCTCATCCGTACAAACCGCATGCAGTTTTCCAAAGTTAATAATTGAATAAATTTGCCATAAAATTCTCTATAGAGCAGAGAACTTACAGTGCGCTGCCCAGATATTATTCTGGAGACATGACTCAGTTTGAGGTATTTCTCCTCTTTACCTGAAAACCATATTAGAGCAGACTCATCCTGAAACCACCACCAAAAAATTATCTTCTGAGATTCTGACATTAACACCACCAAATATGAGCAATGTTGAAAGCTTACAAAGAACAGAGATCACCATACAAATGTCATGACATTAACAACCCCCCACCCCCATAAAAGCGTAATGAGCTACAAAGCTACCTATTATTGACTGGAGAAGATAGAGCTAGGGAAACAGGAAAATATATGACTAGTGTTATACATGGAAGAAAACAAAAAAATCCTAAACAACTCTTATTAGATAGGAGCTTCCGCATTACACACCAAAAGAAAAGATTGAGCTCCATGTTGCAACAATTAAAGGAAACAAGGAGACAACTTCGCCAGCTCCATCTCCATCTTATAAACGAGGATTACTTTAAAAGCATGTGTAGTTTTAGCACTTCACCAAAGGCAAAACATACATATATAAACAGAACGGAAAGTTAACGACAAGAAGCACAACTCTAGGACTGAGATGAAACTTACATTTGCCAACCGGAATGGACAAAACTTGGGCTTCCCTCTTCTTCCATACTTAAGCAAGCAAGCCCCTTTTTTGAGAGCTATTATAGCCTGTTGTAAACATCAGCTATAACCTAATTAAGATGATACCAGCAAATTTATAACCGGAAATAAAGTAGCATTTAACTTTCTTAAAAAGAAGTGGAAAATGATATTAAAAAAATGCAATTAAGATATTTCCATAGTAATCAATTGGAGGGGAGAAAAAATAAGAAGAAGAAGACTCCACCCAATATTGCATTTTTTCTTTATCATTTTGGTGGTCAATTTCACCAATTTTCATACTAGGATTCTATGCATAGCAATGTTGAAAAAATTGCTAGGCGCCCTCTAGGCGCCTGGAGACAGCCTAGGCGCGATTTTTGCAACAGTGATGCATAGTAAGCAATATGATCTTTGGAACTTAAATATAGTGATCAACACACACATAAGAAGCAACCAGCAACAAAATCCAGAAGTTTAAAACATTAAAGAAATATTTGGAATTACAGCTAAAAACATTTGGTTTGAAATTTTGAGCATGTGATTTAAAATAAATAAATAAATAAAATAGCCTTAAGCATTTAGCATTTGGAACTTGACAATCTACAAAGTGTCCACAGACAGTTCAATCATTTATGAAAGTTAAAAGAGATCAGACACCAAAATTAATTAACTACTAATCAACAAAAACCGTGAGACACAGTTAATAAAGGGCAAAATATTTATAATGAAATTGCTGAAAAAATATAGATAATGAAATTGCAGGGGAAAAAAATATATAGGTTATGAAAGCGCAGAAAGACACCTAACAACTGTAATGTAATTAGCACTGGTTCCTATAAATTTAATTTGCAACCACGGTATGCTTCTAATCCGAATAGAACTCTCTGCAAACAATCATTACTCGGAATCATCTAGTTCAAGTTCGTATTCCACTAAATATTCCTTGCTATCTAACATCCAGCACTCGCTTTCTGATACAAACAATGTCAAAAACACTCGAATAAAACGTAACGGAATATAATATACCTGCTCGATGTCCCTTTCAACAGGTCCACCAGTTCTCCCGGCATCTAACGAACTCATCCTACCGGAGCTGCGAGAAATGCGAAAGCGGAGCACGAGCCCTAACTATCTCCAAACAATACCCCAAAATCCTACTCATTCTCGAGTCCAATCCCTCCCATCCCACACGGCATTCGTCTATCAACCAATCAGCCAATCAATTGCTCCGATTACAAGCTCGGCAGCTTCGGAACTCAAGCGCCGCAATCAACACCGCTTCCTCAATTCGCAAGGAAGCGACAGGACCACAGAAAAACAACAGATGTTGATGATGGCGACGGTGATGATAGCGGGAGCGCCAATTGCGGAGCTGCCGTCGACTCCGAAACAGTAGAGATCAGCGGAGAGGGAAGAGAGTGAATGCGCTTTGATCTGATTTTCAGTTGCAGAAAACGCAACAGTAGCAGGAGCAGCTTCCAGCAGGGAGGAGAGAGAGAATTGGAAAAGTGGTTTAGAGAGAGAAAGCTGTAGATAGAGATAGAGAGAGAGAGAGAGCGTTGGACTGGAACAACTATAAAAACTGTGTCGTCTAATGGAGTTTTTTCTTTGACTCTCGTGCATATGTGCATTTTAACCCCCAATTTCTATATATTCGTTACGGGTAATTCCAACCGCACCCCCAAACTCTCCTAAAATTAAAGCATAAGTTCCTAAACTTTCAATTTCGACTATATTGATTTTTTTTTCGGTTTATTCCTTGATTTTAATAGCCAAGGACTTAATTGAATAAAATCATCAAAGTTGATCTAATTAAGCACAAAAAGTCATTTAAAACTAAATCGAAAAAAATCATTATAGTTACGGGCTAAATTGAGTATTAACTCAATATGATTTTAACTCATAATTTAAATATCTCGACTATGTCATCATAAGAAAATTATAACTTAAATCTCAAGTTTGATAACTGACTAATGGATTAGACAATAGGAGATTGATTCTAATAAATTTTCAGTAGCCGATAAATGTTGATTTTGAAGTTGATAAGTCAATAGTTTATGTATTTCGATAAAATCGTAAAATTAACTCTTTTATATTTAAAAATGAAATGATTTTTTGTAGTTTATCTGCCCGTATTTCCTTATATGTTTTAAGGTAGTTATATTTTCAATGTTCAAATTCAATAGCACTTATTAAACTGAAAGCAACTTGCATCATCTCATTCATACCTGTAAAATGTATTTTTTGTTAATATAGTTTAGATTTTAAAATTTTGTATCTTATCATATAATAATTTATTTTTTTTAATTATTGATAATGAAAATATTATTAAAATCAAACTAAAAATCAATGAACTTAATACTTCTTCTTTTTGTGAAGGGGAAATGGATATAACACTCATTTTTATGGCTGAAAAAGGTCAAGTGTCACAGAAAAAAAATCTGATGGGGTCCAGGAAAATATATGCTCTTCCTTTATTTTTCTTTTCTCTTTTTTTATTATTTATTTAACATTGGAATTATATTATTCTCTTTATTTTGTGACTTGTGAGACTTGAATTCGAAAGCTCCATAAATCCACAATATGAGTATACTATCTAAAGTTTCAATTATTGGATATATTTTTATTAAACACATCTCCTGATTATATTTCCTTATACACAATGAATATTTTGTATTGCATATTTGGATGATTTCATACTCTAATATTAGTAAGGATATTTAGACCGAATAACGTACGATCATAACTTTACTAGACTTGTACGCTTAGTATAGTAGAACGATTTTAGTACCATGATCCCTAAATATTTGTCATTTTACATTTCACTCCCATTAACACTAATAACTTTTTAAAATTTTTTTCTTCTAATTTTTTTTTTTTTTTTGGCATGCCAAGATGCTTTTTTTAAGTCCATAATTAAATAAATAATTTACTATTTACCCAATATTTTTTTAAATGCATTTTATTGCAATTAGAAAAATGCATAGCCATTTTTGTTGGAGGAATTTTACTATTTTTTTATTAAAAAAAAAAAAACTCTTTTTAATTAAACTTTACAATCTCAGTTCAATTACAATTTTTCCTATTAATCGAGTGTTTCATAGTCAGTATAATCTTATTTGATTTAAATTATTACAAAGCCGAGCTACACGCTTATGATGAGAGCTCAAAATAAAATTTTCTGAATATATGATATTCTATTTATAGTAATGAAATTTAAGATCTTATGTTAAAAAAAAAATTAGCTCTTTTTACTCGAACTTTAAGGTCCCAATTGGATCAACAACTACTTGCTTTCATCAAATGGCCCCCTACCATCCTTTTCCCTCTTCCCTGGTGAGGGTCAATTATGTGCTTATCGACAAAACCCAACAAGCACTATCCACATGAATAAAGGTAGAGGGGTTTAGTCTTTAGACGAGTTAGATGATTCGTAACGTATGTTAATAGCATCCATTATAAAAGTAGACTCTCCACATGCCTTATTAAAAATAAAAAAAAAAAAATCGAAAAACTAAGACAAAGATAGGAATCCTTACTTAAAAATAGATAACGAGGAAATGGAACATGATCCTTGTACAAGGTAATGGTTACATTTCAGTTGTTGAGTCTCAAATCGTGTTATCATCCAATTAGCACATCTATTGTCTATTAGTTTCTTTACGTGTGTGATGTTGGGCGTCAACCGGGTCGGTCGAATTCAGTCCCTACTCGATTCAAGACGTGATGTTGTGACTGAAAAGATATGACAATCAGATAGCCAAAGAACTATGTGGTCAAGAGTGTTTGACTTACAACACTGGAAAGTAAGTACAGTGCAGTGTTGAGATCCAACGTATGATGTTAGGCGTCGATCGGGTCGGTTGAATTCAGACCCTACTCAATTTAAGACGTGATACTATGACTGGAAGGATATGACAATCAGATAGCCAAAGAACTCTATAATCAAGCGTGTTTGACTTACAACATTTGAAAGTGAGTATAATGCAGTGCTGAGATTCAACTTATGGTTTGTAATATTGGCCAATTAGCACATAGATTGCCATGTTAGCTTCCCTACATATATGTTTCAAAGTGAACATCAACTGCGTATGTATGGTATCCACTAGATGAAAACGACGATCATCGCACATGCCTTTCGAGAGCTAGTCCAAGTAGTCTAATTGCTTCTACGTCCTTAGCGTAGGCTGCCTAAAGGAATAAGCACCTAGGACCATTTCTCCCCACCCTATCCGGGTACATGTGATGGATACATATACTCCTGTCCTACCATTGAATATGACATGCACACGTTTCCTGGGCACAAATTAAAACTTCTAACAGTGCACCAAATACACAATCATTATCGTGTAGACTATACTGCTATCAAATATGTATTTTAGTGTATTAAAAATGTACATTACATTTAAAAAATATATATTATTTTTTTTGAGAAAAAAATATATATTATTTAAGTATTAAAAATATATTATTTTGTATAATGTACATTCAGTAGTACTAAAAGTACGTTATTTTATATAATAAACATTCAGTACATGAGTAATGTACTTTTAGTATATTAAAAATATTTTTTCTTCGAACCATGGTCCACAGTCCACACAATAATTTGCCCCAAATAGAGTAGTAAATTTTTATCCACTAATTTAGTACTCTTTGGTGGTTTATATGAAGACAGTCTTATTTGGTTTCTTGCGAAAATTATATGCAATTATGTTTAGTTTTGCAACAATTATTGAAAAAACAAAAAAGATGGGAATGAGAGAACAAGAAAAGCTTATGTTACCAACCAATTATTTAGATATATTTGGGTTTTTTTTTTTTGTCAAACAATGAAATGTCCTGAGCAAACCCTAACTACTAATCCATATTCGCACTAGGCTAGTACGAGAGGGGTTCTAATTCTCAACCACTCTTAAATAATGAAAGTGTGAACACTCACGCCAACCAAACTAGTTGAGGTGTTTGTTTATTAACTGAAAACATATGTTTTTTTTTTTTGTGGAGAAAGAAAAACGAAAAATGTATTTACATATACCTTTATCTAATTTAAACTTGAATAATAGAAAAACGAAAAACATGTACCTTCCTCTAATTTAAAACAAAAAAATAGAAAAAAAAAAACATATACCTTTCTCTCATTTAAAATCAAATAATAGAAAAAAAAAAAAACTGAAAAATTAAAGTAGGCACAAGTTCACTAAATGAGCAAATTTTCTATCTTTTGGAGGAAAAAAAAAAAAGAATAAAGAAAATGTGTTTCCTTGCACAATTTTTGAATTTAAAAAACATGAAATGAAAAAAAAAAAAAAAAAAAAAAAAAAAAAAAAAAACGAAGAATGATAGAATTAAAGGAAACGCAACATGCAGTTTCTACTTTCCATACCAGAAGCCTGAAAAAGAAGATGGAATTATATCACAAAATTCAGAGACACAGGAGAAGATAGATTTGACTGTTACAGATGATGTTGCACTAGCCAAATTATTAAACATAAGTAATTATGCATCAAAATGGCCATGAAACAACAGTTAACTATATTGAAAGTTGGGTTCTATATTTCAGGGTCCTACCAGGGTGGACGGACGAAAAGCTTTAAAACAGGGTGGTCTCTCAAGGTAGACTGTAGACTCATGGGACCTGAACATGGACCAATTGAACAGAATAGCAGATGGTGTTTGTTATGCACATTAGTTGTTTACATGATTGGGTGGTCATTTCTTGCGGGACAGTGCGGCAGCAATTCCACCGGCCAAAAGGCCAACAGCAGTAGCAGCAATGCCAATGCCAATCACTCCATCTGTTGTTTTTAAGAATTATTAGCACAAAGAAGAAAGAAAGCAAAAATCAAACTACCCGAGCATTACCTTTAGTGATCTTATCTTCAATTGCCTTCTTCAAGGTCAATGCCTGCCTCCAATCTGGTGCAATCTACAAACCCAATTCCCAAACACTCATCAAGGATTGTAAAATGTGATTCAAGAATATGAAACATGCACTTTCAAAATAGGAAAAACTCCAAAACAAATAAGAAAAGTCAACCAAGAGAGTACGCATGGCTAATGTATAATACTTGACAGGAAGGAGGTGGAGGGGTATAAAAGAAACAATACATGGTATTGCTAACTAGAAGCTGCAGTACATTTTACTTTTCGCAAGTATTAAAAGCAATATAATCATAGTCTTCAGATTTTATGGTAAAAATCCACACATTAAGAGAATTAGATCATAATAGTTGAAGCAGAACTTCTAGTCAGAACATTAAAATTTACCTCCAAACAACGCTCCGCAATCTGCCTGCTTCTAGGATAGTCCCCACTTCTGTAGTAACCAACACCCAGAAGATAAAGCCTTTCCCTCTGTTGCAGTGGACTACTGATGACACCCAGAGAAGCTGCAGATGATAATCTTGATAAGTCATAAAATACATTGTAAAAAGGAGATGAAAGAAAAACAATAATAGCTTGATAGCCAGTAAGTATAAAACACATAAATAGATTAGTGGCAGATAAATAACTCAATGTGCCTTGAACTTGCATCTACCTTGAAGTAACAAGCAGACTACAAAACAAGGCGAGAAATAGGGAGAGCAGGAGAAGAAAGATATAGGAACAGTTTGGGGCAAGAAAGATACAACTCTGAAACTCATAAACTTCAAGAAATTAACTTCACAAACTAAGAAAGCAAAGAATGAGGGAAATTGCCCATGAGGAGGAAAAGAGGTTGTATCTCCCCTTTGAGACTTGCCTTCAAGCATTGCGATACCACGCTGGACGTCTTCTGGACGCTTTGAATGAACAAGAGCCCAAGACAAGCGCATTATGCATTCACTTTTAATTGCTTCAGAAGCACCTTTTTCAGCATCTGCAACCTCACGCTCACAGCCCTGAAAATAAACTTAGGTTTTGCAAGGGGAAACTGGAAAAGAGCTAAACAGAGATTTTTTTAGGGTTATATGGATTGCAACCTAGGTAGCTATAGTAAAAGAGTGACAGAAAATATCATTTCAAAGATGGACATATACATAACAGTATCCCCCTAATGCTGACAAATTTATCTGCTAGGATAGGATAGGGACTCCAGAGTCCAGCCTAAAAGGGTATGAATGTATGATATGAAAACATAATCAATAATGTGTTGAGCAATCAACACACACACATATAGTTCAAAAGAAAATAAATAAACAAATAATCTGTGTGCAGCTAAATGAATAACAACATTGCATCTAAGCTAAGCAATTTTTTAATTACTAAATATAACCAATGATAAGAAAAAAAAAAATGATTGAAGCATATCTGCATATATCAATTATTATGAATATATTTTTTTGATAAGTAACCAAATATTAACAGACAATAAGAAAAATTAAGTAATGAATATAGTCCAACATCATAAAAAGTTTGAACTAACACCGGACATGAAAACAATAACAAATATACTCTAATGTCATAAAAATGGAACATGACTCAAACTTTATTACTAATCAAATGTCAAAATTAAGAATAAAAGGAATAATTTGATGTTCATGTGGTCATGTCTGCAAGATTAAGGGGAACACATGATCCCTGTTTGGTCCATGTCTCAAATCTGTCTACCAAAGAATAAAAGCCAAAGGATTAGGACGAGCAAAAATGCACAAATTATAATGTGTGCCAATACTCAAACTATGTGTGCCGTGCCGTTCAAAGCTTGAATGTTCAGAAATCTGAGTCAAATTCTGACTCTATTTAAATGTGTGAGATGGAAAAGTTGCTAATCGTGAACATCAAAGTCAAATGATGTGAAAACTTTAGCTACTGCACACAGTATCACAATTGGCCAAAACGACTCTCCAACACAATTTCAATCAGCACAAGCAGTCAAGCACACCGATCCAATTTCCAAAAATTGAAGCCTCGAGTTGTATGCAAGCCAATATGCTGAAATTCTTAAACCCTAATCCTGCCACTCTCAGTTCCAGGCACAGCTAAACCAAATAACCGACAGGATATGCACATCAAATTACCTACCGATACAGCATATGGAGGAGAGGATACTTACAACGACGATATCGGCATCGCACCAAGGAATCTGGTCGCCGCCGGAGAAGAAGTTGCCGACCGAATCGAAGAACTTGCTCATCTTTGCTTCCATTTGCTTGCGTAGAGAGACGACGGTGACGGATATTTGATGGAGCTAAGGAAATAGCAGAAGAGTAATGGCTAAGTTAATACAACCGTTTGGTGAGTTGCTGAAGAAAGTAGACTGGTTTTTCTTAACGGGGTGCGGGCGGGTCACGCGGCTAAACAACAGACCGAGGCGGTCTGAGAAGCGTGCGGCCCGTGCGGCCTGCGGAGTTGATAAAAGTCGCGAAAGTGCAAGTTGAATAGAACATTCCAGACCGTGTTTAGACTTTTTTTTTTTTTTTTTTTTTTATACTTTTAATTCCTTTCACTAATTTTTCGAAATTTCAAATCTTAGTTTTATTTTTAAAATGGTCAAATTAGCTGTTTAATTGATAAAATGTCAAATTATTTTTCATGTATATACTTATGTAGGTCAATGATAAAGTTATTTAGGCACAGATTGGTATGAAGATTGTGAGAGAATGATTGTTGTAAAACAATAACTGAGTTGATGCGACAAATAAGTATTATTGTATTAAAGGCAAGTAAGTGTAGCGAAATAATCTTCCGAAAAGACTATTTATGAAAAAAATACAAGCACAAGCACACAAAAGAATTAGAATTAGTATAAGTCGAGCGAAACAATATTTCATTAAAACCTTATTTGCTACATCTCAAATATGCTATGAGCATTGTAGTCTAGGTTTCTTAAAATAAAACGTACTATGACTCAATGTTTGACCGCTCAAACAAGTGAGTCCGACGAACTAGGACATGGAATAAACACATAAAGAAAATGGAGCAAGAAGTAGAGGCCTTGGAATGGTACTCGGAAAGTAACTACTATGAGCGGTGTCAACCATTTGGTCAAAACTCGGAAGTAGAGGCCTTCAAATGGTACTCGGAAGCTAACAACTAAGAGATGTGTTAACCATTCAGCCAAATCCATCTTGACCGAATGGTGCCTCCAACTAAGCATATGTGTCAACCATTCGGTCAAATCCATATTAACCGAATGGTGTCTCCAACCGAGCAGATGTGTAAACCATTCGGTCAAACCCATCTTGACCGAATGGTGGCTCCAACTGAGCAGAATCACAAATGTGTCAACTATTCGATCAAACGCACATTGATTGAATAGTGCCTCCAACCAAGTAGCTTGACCGAATGAGGCAAAATATTAGCATAATTTAGAACACAAAGCCAGTCAATTATTATTATTATTATTATTGACTTAATTTGAAACATGTCTTCACTCAAATATGCAATTGGATGTTACCAAATAGTTTTAAAACATATTTGATCATTTTATCATTAATATATGCTACAGTGACATTTACTTGATAATACACAAATATTTATATAAAAAAATTGAATATTTATTATGTTGTTATATTACTAAATAAATATAAATATTATTGAGTTGATATATCGAATTAAGTAGGTGTGTACCTAATAATTATGAAAGATATAAAAATAGCATTAAATAATATAATAATGATTTATTATATATTTATATTGCTATTAATTGATTTAAAATTTAAAATGAGTGATATATTACATCATTATTAGGTTGAACTCTTACTCCATATAGCAAAGTTTATTTTTTGTTATATATATCAAAAAAGAATTAAAAAAAATGAAATCACAACCAATTAGAATTGAGAAAAGTGAAAAATGAAATTGAAAATAATGAATGCTGATGCCTTGATAGCATAAACTAAGGGTGTGTTTGGAAACCTGGAAAATGAGTTCTGGAAATCATTTTCCAAGTTTTCACTGTTTGGATGTGCCTGGAAAATCAAGTCAACGGAAATCATTTTCGGTTGACTTTGGAAAATAGACTTTTTTTTTTTTTTTGAATGCGAAAATAGACTTGTTTTAGAGGAAAATGACTTCCCCTTTTTTTGGGGAAGTCATTTTCCAACTTTTACACCAACATCACACCACCACCAACATCATCAACATCATACCACCACCACTACTGCCGCCGCCGCCACCACTACCACCACCAACACCATACCACCGCAACCACTACCATCACCAACACCATCAACACCATACCACCACCACCACCACCGCTGCTACCACCACCACCATACCACCGCAACCACCGTCGCCGTCACCACCACTACCACCACCGCCGCCGCCGCCGCCACCACCACCATACCACCGCAACCACCATCGCCGCCACCACCACCACCATACCACCGCTGCCGCCACCACCACCATACCACCGCAACCACCACCACCAGCATCACACCACCGCCGCCACCACCACCACCATACCACCGCAACCACCGTCGTCGCCACCATACCACTGCAACCACCACCGTCATACCACCACCAGTTATTATTATTATTATTATTATTATTATTATTATTATTATTATTATTATTATTATTATTATTATTATTATTATATAACAAATAACACCACTACCACTACACCACCACCACCACCACCACAATAATATTTTTGATATATTATTAGTTATTTTTTTTATTATATTTAAAATTATTATTATATTATTATATATTATTATACATGTTGTAATATTCTAAATAAAATAATTAAAATGTTTAATTGTACAATTCTACTCATTTTCCAGAAAATGAATCAAACACATAAAAACAGTTTTCCAGAATGCAACCAAACACTGAAAAGGAAAATATTTTCTAGAAAATGACTCATTTTCCAGAAAATATTTTTCAGAAGTCATTTTCCTGCTTTCCAAACGGACCCTAATGCAAAGAGTAAATGAAAACATGAAATGAAAAGAGTGGAAGCACGCCAGTGTGTCCCCACAAATGACAATCATAGAGAACATGTACACGCAAGCACGAAGATGAATCGATGGAAGAGCATATTCGCCAATCGCTGTGTCTTGCTTCACTTCCTTCACAAAACTTGATGGTGGGTTTTCTCCCCCAAGTCATTAGTGGTGGACTGGTGGGAGGGGAGACCCAAGGATCGTAAGATCAAGGTAACGTTTTGTACTGCGAAGAAGACATCACAATGGGTTTCTCCAGAGACAACGTTTGTGGGATTGGGTTGGCTCTGCTCTCAAGTGCTTTCATAGGGGCCAGCTTCATCATCAAGAAGAAAGGACTCAGAAGAGCAGCTGCTGTTTCTGGTGTCAGAGCCGGTATATTTCTACTCCATATTCTTTTGAATTTCTTATTGACTGAGAAATCTGATCGCATTCATATGTTTTTAGCCAAAGTTTGTTTGTTTATTTTATTGTTCTTTATGCAATTAAACTTGGATTCTGTGTACTCAATTCAACTAAGCTTGAGCACAAACTGATTTGGAACAGGCTTGATTGCCCACATGGGCTTTGTTCAGCTGTTTTTAATGCTATTTTGGTGTAACTCCATTGTAGAATTGGTATAATATGAATCCAAGCTGACCACCCTGGCTAGCCTCGATGCATACTACTCAAACTACAATGAATATTTACTTGAAAGACAATGAAATTACATGATGAGTATGTTGTTTAAAGATATTGAATATTCTTATGTAGTAATATTCAATTGTATTGTTCCCAATAAGGTTGAATCTTCAACCCCAAGGGCCCCCCACGTCCCGGCCCGACAGTGCATATGGGAGGATGTAAATCATGGTAACTCAGCTGAACACAAAGGCTAGACATTTGCTTACTGCGCACAAGGAGCCCCCCCTCACTTTGAGAGGATGCTCCCACACTACCGCTGGTGAGACTCGATCCTGAGTCATTGTTCCCAAACTTCACCCTTGTGACCAACTGAGCTGTTCATGCGGGCTAGTAATATTCAATTGTAGTTACAATGGATGGTCATCATAATCATGGTGAACGTCTTTAGGTTCATGATATAATTCGTGTTAACTACATCTGCCAGAGTTAGTTGTGGTCTTTCTGCTCGTGATTGGAAGATAGATTGAATATTCCCGAACCATCTTAAGTTATTATATATTTATATCTGTCTTTAATTCATGTCACTTGCTTGCAGCGACGGTATTTATTTGTATAATATGTTTTGATTATACTGCTACTACTTTGGTAATCAGTATTTGGTTTTGCTGGTTGGTGGTAGGTGTTGGTGGCTACTCGTATCTATTGGAACCTCTCTGGTGGTTTGGAATGGTCACAAGTATGTACTACTAGCTGCTGTATTAATTTGTACTATTTTCTTTTACCAATTCTGTATGTGTTCAGTTAACATTGTGGTAATTGGTCCTCTTCTGTTTATTATCGTCAGCTTCATATAAGACATGCATAGAATTCTTTATTTTTGGTTATTTGACTATTTTTCGACTCTCAATAGGATCTTTGTTCTGTTGGGATTTTTAAATAGTGATTGTTGGAGAGATTGCAAACTTCGTGGCATATGCATTTGCCCCTGCTGTTCTTGTGACCCCTCTTGGCGCACTGAGTATCATTGTCAGGTACTCTATTTTTTTTTACTATTTCGTATTGAATGTGTGTGTGTGTGTGTGTGTGTGTGTGTGTGTGTGTGTGTATATATATATATATTTTTTTTTTTCTGATCGCGTATCCCCTCGGGGGCATGTGCTGAATTTTGTTGTAGTGCTATATTGGCTCATATTGTCTTGAAAGAAAAGTTGCATCTGCTAGGAATCTTGGGCTGTGTTATGTGCATTGCCGGTTCTGTCATAATCGTGATCCATGCACCACAGGAGCGCCCTATCTCTTCTGTCAAGGAAGTCTGGTACATGGCAACGCAGACAGGTGCCCGTGTTTCCTCATTGCCACATTATGTTATGCCTCAGTGGCCTCCGTATTTTCTAACTATATTCTTCTTTACTTTACAGCCTTTTTGGCCTATGTGGGATCGGTACTCATTTTGGTGTTTATTCTCGTCTTCTATCTTGCACCTGAATATGCTCATACCAATGTACTTATTTACACTGGAATTTGTTCACTGATGGGTTCTCTCTCGGTAAGTTTTTGATTGCTAAAGCATATTATAATACACAGCTAATGAATTAAAATATCTATACAACTGCCTGGAACTTAGACATTGAATGATAGAAATACAATTTTGTTACTATTCTTGTGATCATTTTTGCATAAATTTCTGAAGCACTTATCGGTGGTGTTTGGTAAATAGCTGTTAGCTGATTGGGTTAGTAGGTTTGACTAGTTGATAGCATTAGCTAATTGTCGAAAGATGTTTGATAAATTAGTTGTTAGCTGATAACTTATTACATGCAAAATGACTTTCTCAAAAAGCTTACTGAAAAAGTTGCTTTGAGCAACTTTTTGAATTTTAGTGTTTTGGAGCAATAAGCTGTTACAAAAAGCTAATTAATCAAACATTCATATTGGCTGTTTAACCAAGTCAAACAAGCCAAAATTGGCTGATAAGCTAACTATGTTACCAAACGGGGCCATCTTCTTCAAAGTTCCTTTTATTAATTGCGGTGTTTAATGTGTTCAATATGCAGGTCATGAGTGTCAAAGCCCTTGGAACTTCACTGAAACTAACTTTTGAGGGAAAGAACCAGTTGATCTACCCCGAAACCTGGTTTTTCATGTTTGTTGTGGCGGTCTGTGTGGTTACCCAGATGAATTATCTCAACAAGGCTAGTAATCGTTTCTTTTTAATTTACCCATCCAAAAAATAGTAATCATTTGCTTATTTCTACCAAGTTTTAACTGCATTATAAGCCAAAATAAAGTTAGTGGTCGGGCAACCATGTTATGTTGCTCTCAAATTCTTTTTGTTCACACTTTTAACTTGAAAGGATGCAGAGAGATTGCTACGTGCATCTACTATTCTAAACGTAAGTTTATCCGACGGTTTGTTTCTGCCTTAACGATGTATCTTTCTTGTTCCAGGCCCTTGATACATTCAACACTGCCGTTGTCTCTCCTATATACTATGTTATGTTCACATCACTTACAATTGTTGCCAGTGTTATTATGTTTAAGGTAAGACAAGCGTTTGTCTTTGGAGCTCATACTTGCATATCTTCACGTATTTTCGTGATTCCCAAGAACAACTGAATAGTATGGGGCAACCTCAACCAAGTTGGTCAGATTGTTGACTTTGTAACCATATGGTTACAAGTCCAACTCCCAGCAGGAGCGGCCTATTGGCCCGCGGGGTTTACCCCGTGCACACCCTCGGGTAGTGGCTGCGGGTTTCCCTCGTCACCCAAAAACTGAATAGAATGTGAACATGGTTGTTACTTCAAAATGTGTATGCTATTTTGGATACATTTCACATATTTATTTTAATTGTTTAGGATTGGGATGGCCAGAACGTGGGAAACATTGCATCAGCAATATGTGGTTTTGTGGTTGTGCTCTCTGGTACCATCTTGTTGCATGTAACTAAAGACATGGAGAGAAGTTCGTCTGTTAGAGGTGAATTACGCATCCATTCTCGATATCCCCTTGACCCTTCGGTGGTGTTTAACAACTACTCCGGGGTAAATTTTTTTAACTAAATCCTCAATTGTGATTTTTTTTCCCTGACTAAATGCAGGTAGTTATACTTCTTTATCCCCGTCATTGTTGGCCCAACTATGTAGTGCAAATGGGGAACCATCGAAACATGAAGACGAGGGTAGTGAGGCATGATTCAGCCCAGTGGAAGTCGCCTCAAGAAGACGAGAGCTTTACACATGACATAATCACCCGAAAGCTAGCCTATTTGATTAAGACTTTTTTGTTAGCAAAGGAGTTATCTCTCGAGATTATTTTGTACGCGATAAGGCAATAATGTGACTTCTTGGAAGGTGTTTCTGAAGCATTCGTGTTTCACAACTATGGTTCAGCCGCCTGTTTGTGGCTTCACCTTTGCGTTCTGAATGGTCAAAAAATCGGAAGAAATTCATCGGGTAGCTGCTTCAACTTGGCATGTACAGTTTTTCCGTGTTCTAGGCATGATATATACAGTGTGGAATTAGATACATATTCCGATATTCGTTCAATATCTTGTGATTATATTTTGGAGAAAGGGATTACAAAGATCTGAGCTGAAGCATACATGTTGCTGCATGGCCAAATTTATAGAGGTTGGAAGTTCATTCATTGAATGGCTTATGGCCATGAAAATAAAGTGCAGTATCCATTGTTATCGTTGCTGGATTTATCCCTTTGTCTGGGGTGTGGTTCAGGAAACTGGTTGGTACAATTTGTTGTATAGTTAAAGTATATAGAATTTATCTGTTTATAGATTTGCTGCTTGTGTGTTTTGTACATGCTAATTGAAACATTATACTTCAATTTTCATATAGAACATTTACATACAATGATCATCATTTGGTCCCACGATTATTATGGTATTTTCATATTTGGTATTCGATTATCAATAATTATTTTTGGTTCTTTAACTTTTTTCAAAATCAACTAAATTTAGTTCAAAGTGTCTGGAATACCTTACTACAAAAATTGGTAAATTTCGGTGGATTTGTTCATAACTACTTTTTTGATCTGTTGAAGTAAAAAGAGGTTCGAACTTATGATTTTTCCTATGATTACATGTCCGTGCTACTAGACCACAATGTCATTGACTCTTCTTAAAGGAAGGTTATATGATTGAACCTAACGTGCCACTAGACCACAAAGTAATTGGCTCTTCTTAATGGAAGGTCATGATCAAACCTAATTTCTAAGGTACTGAATATGTCCTAACTCCTAACTATAGGAGACATCTCATTTCTAAGGCACTGAGCATGTCCTAACTGTAGGAGACCCTTTAAAACCCGTACTGTACTCAGACTAATTCCAGTTTGCACTTATCCGGCCAATTAAGGGGCAAGTATTGGCCAAATTAATTCATGAAGAGATTCAAACTTCTAACCTCTCTTAAGATCGAAAGTGCACGGTCACTCAAGCCAACCAAGCTGGTTAGAGTGACCATTAGTATTCTTGTGTTATTTACTTCAATGAATTAAAGAGCTCTTAATAAGAGTGGAATAATGTAATGAATTAAAGAGGTGGAGCAGTAAACGAAGACTTCACTCGCGGGTTTTGTCCTTTTGGTTCATGGAAAGGCATGTATATTACTATACAGAGGGTTTTGGCTCTCTTGAAATCGCGCACTGAATCGAGATGGAGTTTCAGGCCATCTCTGAAACTGGAAGCCAAGGTTTTGCACCAAAAAATTGTCACTTTGGGCTTGCAAAGGAGCATCCCTCTATCCAAGGGCCTTATAGACTTGTATATTTCTTGCCAAGATTTCCAATCCGCCAAGCTGGTTTTCCAGAATCTGGAGAACCCTCTTGACATCACTCTATGGAATGGCCTCATGGCGGCATATACAGGCAACTCTGTGTTCAACGAAGCTCTTGAGCTCTTCCAGAAGCTGCTGCTCTTGTCCCCTTATCTCAAGCCCGATGGTTACACGTATCCCAGTGTTCTCAAGGCCTGTAGCGGGTTAGGAGGCCGGCTGGAGTACGGTAGAACAGTGCACGCCAGTGTGGTCAAGACTGGGTTTGTGTCTGATGTGGTTGTTGCGAGCTCTGTGGTGGGAATGTATGGGAGAGGTGGTGATTTTGAATCAGCTGCTCAGATGTTTGATGAAATGCCTGTGAGAGATGTGGCTTGCTGGAACACTCTTATTTCTTCCTATTATCAGAGGGGAGAATGCGCCAAGACCTTGGAGTTGTTTGGGAAGATGAAGGAGTCTGGGTACATGCCAAATTCTGTGTCTTACACTGCTGCTATATCTTCTTGTGCAAGGCTGTTGGATTTGTATAGAGGGGAGAGGATCTATGAGGAGCTGGTGAGAAATGGGATTGTTCTGGATGGTTTTCTTTGTGCTGCTCTTGTGGACATGTATGGGAAATGTGGCCAAATAGAGAAAGCAAAGGAGGTCTTCGATCGTATCCCATACAAGAGCTTGGTTAATTGGAATGCCATGATTGCCGGCTACAGTTTGAGAGGTGACAGCAAATCATGCATGGAGCTTCTGTTGAGGATGAATGAGGAAGACATGCAGCCTTCTTTGACAACCTTAAGCAGCCTGCTAATGGCTTGTTCTAGATCAGCCCAATTGCAGCATGGGAAATTTGTCCATGCTTATATTATCAGACGTGGAATAGAACCTGATATGTTTGTTCACTGCTCGCTTGTTGATTTATACTTCAAATGTGGAAGGGTTGAGTATGCCAAAAGAATCTTTAGTACAACTCCAAAAGGGGATGTAACAGCCTGGAATACAATGATCTCTGGATTAGTATCAGCTGGCAATTACTTGGAAGCTCTTGACATCTATAGTGATATGAAGATGGAAGGCATAAAGTATAATGCTATTACATTTACTAGTATATTAGTGGCTTGCTCACAGTTAGCAGCCTTAGAACAGGGGAAAGAAGTTCACAAGAGAATTATTGAGAGTAAGTTGGATTCAAGTGAAATAGTCATGGGAGCGCTACTTGATATGTATGCCAAATGTGGTGCTGTTAGTGAAGCTTATGAGGTGTTCCACCAGCTTCCTGAAAGAGATATCGTATCCTGGACTTCAATGATAGTGGCTTATGGGTCACATGGCCAAGCTTCAGAAGCTTTACGTCTCTTCCATGAAATGCTTCAGTCTAATGTTAAACCGGACAAAGTTACATTCCTTGCAGTAATTTCAGCGTGTAGCCATGCAGGATTACTTGATGAGGGTTGTCATTATTTTAATTTAATGGTTACTGATTATGGAATCAAACCTAGCATCGAAGACTACTCATGTCTCCTAGATCTTCTAGGACGCGCTGGGAGATTGAATGAAGCCTATGCAATTCTTCAGAGATCCCCTTATATGAGAGAGGACGTTTCATTGTTAAGCACACTATTTTCTGCTTGCCATATGCATAGGGAAGAAGATATTGGGGAGGAAGTTGCAAAACTTCTTATTCAGAAAGGTTCTGATGATCCATCAACTTATGTCATTCTGGCAAACATGTTTGCCACTAGAAAGAAATGGAATAAAGCGTTGGATATAAGAATGAAGATGAAAGAACTTGGATTGAGAAAGAACCCCGGATGCAGCTGGATTGAAGTTGATAAGAGAATACATACCTTCCTTGCTGAGGACCAATCATTTCCAGAGGCAGAAACAGTATACGAGTGTCTAAACAAAATAAACTACCATATTCACAAATATGAAATGCTTGATGTAATGTGACTGAGGTGGAATGACCCTTTAGAAATAGTGAGTCCTTAAAAAACTTAACATAGTTCTTCATTTGATGACTAGTTCAATGGCATCATTACACATCAATCACAGAACTAATTGACCCAGCAAGGTATTTTCAAACTCAGAGTAAACAAGGGTATGGCAACACCCGTGTTGCAAATGCCTGTTTCTGGCCATATCATCAAGGTACAAAGTTGGTTATTCTAATTAATAGACTTTTAGGAGGCAATGATGTCCTTTCTCATGGTGATACTTCGTAATTCCTAAGATGTTGCAATTTCATTCGATAGAGCAACTTGACTTGCCTGATATCTGTTGCAGGTAATCTTGAAAGACTTCAAACTTTTGTCTTTAAATGTAGGCTGAAACAAACTGAAAGTTTTGGGTGATTGATTATTTGTAAATGTATATTTCCTGTTTTTCCTCATACACTTTCGGTCCTTCTAGTCCTGTTGCTGCTCCTTGTCTCAACAATTTAATTTCCCATCTTATTGTCAATGTTTTTTGGGCTTGAATGTGTCACAGTGTCATGTGTGATGGAGGACAATAAGTGCTATAGAATTCCATATTTAGTTCTATGCACGAATTGCTATCTGAATATTTATTAGTAAGCCAAGACACTTAAAGAACCAGTAAAAAAAACAAAAAATATGGAGTAGTAGCCATTTTCATAGTAATATTGTAATATAATATGTCAAGGAAGGGATGCTAGGAATATGAAGAGATTTAGGTTATATATGAATATGTGCAGTAAACCAGAGTTTAATAGCATTATTTCAAATAGTGCATAAAGAAAGTATGTAGTTTTTACAGAGTACCCTGAACAAGATGAAAGAAACAAATACATGCAAGTATAACACACTTGAATTAAATTCTGGATGGAATCATGGGAGTGGTGTTTTGCAGGTAGGCAGAAGCTGCTGCAACTCCGCTGCCAAGCTTCACTGGGTAACCGATATCCTTTAGCACCATCTCCACTCCAGCGAGACAGCCCAGTAGTTGCAGCTGCAGAAAATGCGTCAATTCAATGGTTAGCATATTCAACTCCTTGGTATTCATTACCTTTCTATTTTGATATTCAAAGTGAAATGTGACAGAAAACCTAGCAAGTAGCAACCCTTTTAAAATTGTGCTTTGCAATTTACCTCGTTCAGATTACCAAGGTGCCCTATTCTAAAGACCTTCCCTGCCACTTTGTTAAGGCCTAGACCTAAGCTCAAGTTGTAGCGTTTCCATGCCCTTTTGACAATTTCTGAACTGTCAATATATGAAGGAACAACCACAGCAGTGACTGTGTCACTGAACCATTCCTCCTTTTGGGTGCAGTTCTTCAAGCCCCACGCCTGCACTGCAAGCCTGCATTTTCATGGGGGAATTGAATGGTTATTTACGGTTCAAATGGAGATAGAGAATGATGGGTAGTTCTAGTCAAAGGAAATCTGCAGGATAGAGACAATCATCAAATCATTATTCTTTTCAAGATTCAGAAACTTCCGGCAATGGAATAATACCTTGTTGCAGTACCTAGGCGAGTGTGCCTTGCAATCACATTATCAAGTCCTTCCTCAAAGAGAAGGTCGAGGCCTGCTCTCAGTCCATAAAGAAGTTGGATGGAAGGAGTGTATGGCCAATATGTCCCCATCTTGTAGAACTTCAAGTAGTCCTTCCAGTCAAAGAAAACCCTCACTGATTTTGCAGTTTTGCTGGCCTCAAGAGCCTTGGGGCTTGCACAGACAATTCCAATACCAGTAGGAAGAGACAGAGCTTTCTGTGAACCAGTTAATGCCACATCAACTCCCCATTCATCCATGCGGAAATCAATCGCACAAATGGAGGACACACCATCAACAAGGAGGAGAGCTGGATGCTGATAGTGATCTGAGAAGCACAGACAGGTTTGAATGTTGATACTATTCTTAGAAAAATAATGTATGTAGTTTGAATTGTTGGGCGGAGGCCAGTGAAGGGCCAAGTCCAGCAATTGGTGGGTAGGGGATTGTTGGGTGAAGGCCTAAAGGGTCAAGTCCAGCACCCTGCCTCTCAAAAATATGGCAGTGTAAGGAAATAAAGTTGCGCCTTCGCTACGAGCTATAGCTTTTGATCCTAACAAGTTCATATAGCATTATAGTGTTAATTCAATCTTTCTTGCATAAGTTGGACACTTACCGAGCAATTTTCTTACAGTAGCCAAGTTGTTTGTAACTCCAGTTGCAGTCTCATTGTGTACAATGCAAATAGCCTTGATGGTATGCGCTGTATCCTCTGCTAGCTTTGAAGCCAAAACGTCAAGATTTGCACCTTGCCCCCATTCACTCTCCACAACATCAACATTGAAGTTGAGACGCTGCTGCTGATCAATCCAGAGCAAACTGAACTGACCAATGAGGAAAGACACGATCCGATCACCAGGAGACAGCGTGTTGGTAAGTGCACTTTCCCAAGCTCCAGTCCCTATTTTATGGAGGTTTCATTGCTCATTAGAATACAAATAAATGCAACTATCTAGTGTTATGATGCCCGGGTGTAAACGAATCGAATCAAGTCAAATATCTCACTATTCGATTCAAATTTGACTATATATTCGAATATTTGTATTTGAATCTCAAATTTGATTCCTATTCGATTCGACCAGTTTATTCGAATCGAAATATTCAAATTCGAATCACGAATCGAAATATTCGAATTCGAATCTCGAATCGAAATATTCGAATTCGAATCACGAATTCGAATCTCAAATCGAAATATTCAATTTGAATCTCGAATCGAAATATTCGAATTCGAATCTCGAATCGAATTCTTTTTATTTGATTTGTTTATACCCATAATGCCCAGTTTATCAAGACATGACAGCATTCATTTTTCATTTTCTGAACACTTTTGTGATGTGATTTAGCATAGGGAACCTGTAGTTGGGATCAGAAATGGAGTCCCACTGGTAGTCTTGAAAATCTTTTTCACATCCTCAAGTAGAGTCTTTGTCAGTGCTGGAACAGCCGGGGAGCGATAGTCCTCATTGTTCCTGGTCATTGCACGGATAACTTGATCCGGGATATTGACAGGTCCCGGAACAAAAAGATGGTTCCTTCCAGGCGCATTTACGTAGTCCATCTTTTCCCCCTCTGAATCACACAGGTAGTTGAAATTCTGATGTTCTCAATACCCACACCCTGAAAAAAGTAGGGTTGTAAGTTAATCCAAAGTTAGATCTCCTTATCCCTGAAACTTTCCTTTACTCTATGTTACATAAATGCAAAGATGTACTTAACCTTTTTTTTTTTTTTTTTTTTTTTTTTTTTTTTTTTTTTTTTTTTTTTTTGCATTGAAAATCCAAATTAATATGTATGTAACATAAATCTTACATATCCAATTTTGGTGCATGAATAATGTAAGAGTGGGTCACCAAATTCACAAGTGGTCCAAAATTAAAATAAAATGAAAAGAAGTAATAATCAAAATAATTTGGATAATCAATCTTTATGGCACAAGTAAAAGATAAAATTACACTTTATACTAATTATTATATTTGATAATATTACTATTTTGCAAAAAAAAAAAAAAAAAAAAGACTTATCAATATTCGACTTTTCATTTTAATGACATGGCAAGCCTTGGTTCACACTCCACAGTTGGTGTATAATAGCTATATATGGATATTGTATATTAAATATAAAGTGAAAGATAAAATTACACACTATTGACTTAGATGACACCATAATATTTTTTGAGTACTATTGACTTTGTTATAATGTAGTATCTGTTCATAGTTACTTTTTCAACATATGAAAGTACAAAAGTCAAAATATTACCCTGCTGAGGCTCAAATCCATGACTTTTCATTTGGGAGAATCACTTCATAATACTGGACTATAAGGTCACAATAATATAGAATTAAAGTACATAACAATTTTTATATTTTTTAAAGAAAGAAAAAATAACTGTTTTTTGGGGTGACCATGAAAATTCATAGCGAACTCGAAGGTATTTATTGATAAATTTTATTTTTGTGCAATAACCTGCAAATAATATATTATAAATAAATTGTACATGGAAGACTCAGGACAACTTCATGACTTTTTAGTTCATTTTGTGGATGACTGACTTCAAAGACATCACATATACTGCGAAGTTACGTGCAAAACATGTATGTATATCAATTCAAAATATATATATTTTTTAGTATATACATATTTGGTTATTTTCAAATTAAACTCGAGTTTCAATCAAACCGGGCTGATACAGAATTTAAATTAAAGCAAGGTAAATATACATATGCGTCTTTATATATGTATGCATGCACAGAGAAAATCGGAGAACAATATATATATATATACATATATGATAGTAAAAGCAAATTTGGAGCCATGCATGCAACTGAGAATAGAAGAGTAAAGAAAGAAAATGAAAAACAGTAAAAAATTATTATTAAGTGTTGACCTGGTGTGGAGAATAGCAGGGTGGGACGACTTCTGGGCTTCGTTCTTTCTCTCTGGATCTGTGAAGACTGAAGAGGGAATGGGGAAGATGAAGCTGCCAAACGCAGACGTTTTGGGAGGACTTATAAGAGCGCCAGAGAGACCGTTCAAGCCCGGTGAGGTGGGTCCCACTCCAGATTCAATACAACGTGGCAGATAAGAAGCACCACAATACAATGGCTGTGACCTGATCGATGAGAAGCTAAAATTTAATTTTGGAAAAATTGTAAAAAATGCCCCTCTATAATATGTCAATTATCAATGTCACTCCTGAATTATGAGTGGTGTAAATGTTGCCTCCAAATTATCAACACGGTGGACATATAGCTCCTCCCGTAACATATGTGGTTCCTCGTTAGTGTACGACACCGTTAAGTCGGAGTAAATATGTAATTTAGTTGTTTTTCCCTCCCTCGATTCGAAGTACCAGCAATGGACAGTGGTGGGGAATCACAGGTCCGTTACGATAGGGGTTATATGTGCACCATTTTGATAATTGAGGGGTAACATTTATACCATTCATAATTCAGGGGTGACATTGATAATTGCCATATTATAGAGGGACATTTTTTTTTACAATTTTTCCTTTAATTTTTGAAATACTTGTGATTTATTACAAAGTAGTATTTGTTCTATACTTTTTTAAATATTTTGAGTCCCAAAGAATCTAAGGGTGTGTTTGGTTCGCACATAGGAATCGGAATCGGAATGGGTATCAAATACTTGGTAATGGTAATGAGTTTTGGTGAAAATATTTAACATGTTTGGTAGTAAGGTGGAATGGGAATGGTTACTAATAGTAGTGCTTGAGAATGAATAAGGGAATGAAACCCTTATTGTATTTGGATATGAGTTTTTCAATTGATGAGGTATTCGAAACCCATAGTAGTGTTCTAAAATCCTATCAACCAAACAACAACAAATCACTTTCATACCCATTCCTATAGGCAAAACCCACCAACCAAACACACCATAAGTCTTCACTATCGAGATTTAAACATATGACTACTCATTTGAAATGGTAAT